CGCCAATGGAACCAAGCACTACGCCAATGGAACCAAGCACCCCCAGAAACGAAATGCTTGTGCAAATGAGTGAGCCGAGAATATTGTTGTTTGAACCGAAGAGGAGAATGCCTGAGCAGAGCACGTCGGCAATGCCCCCAACTGAGGCACCTGTGTTTGAAGCAGAACCGCGAATGTTTATGTTGGAACCAAGAAAGAGAGCCATGCTTGAACCAAGCACGACGTCCATGCCTGATCTAAGTGAAGCACCTGTGGATGCATTCGAACCGAGAATAATAATGTTTGAGCCGCGAAGGAGGGCCATGCCTGAGCCGACGACACTAATGCCCGAATCAACAGAAACACCATTGCCAAAACCGAGAGTAATCCTGGTTGAAACTATGGAAAGGCATATACCTGAGCCCACTACGACAATTACGCCTGAGATATCAGAGATCAAACCAAGATATATCGCGTTTGAGAGAAAAGCAACACCAACTCCATTGACAACATCGCCTATGAATGAACAGGAGGTAGCTGATGAACCATTCGATCGTAAGTGCTTAGCATATATCTAGTGCACGGTTTCTATACCGATTCATGATGATTGTAGTGTCGACATTCTGTAAGGACAAACCCGACAGTTTTTACGCTCATGGTTGCTCATCTGAGATGATAGCCTGTGTTGCTGGAGCACCACAGTCTATGCTATGTCCTGCTAATTTGATTTTCGACGAACGCAAGCAAATCTGCGAGTATCCAGAAAATGTGCCATGCTACAGAGGCGAGAAGGAAACGCAAGGCAAGCTTATCTTTTCATGTATGCTGTTTCCGTTAATGACAAAAACATTTTAGAAAAATGCGAAGGGGATGAAGCAATTGCTCGTGGCCCATGCCAGAACACTTACACGAAATGTGTAAAAGGAAAGGTAAGCAGTGTCTCTCCTCTCTGCTGCTCTGGTGAGCAATAACTTGACTTGCAGCCGTACACCCTTTCCTGTTATAATGGGCAAGTCTTCTCTCCGGAACATTCAACGTGCAAAGATGTGCAAGAAGTGCACGGGTGCTTTTAAGGAGAATCCTATTTATTGAACTGTTGATAGATTATAACGCATGCTGTGATAATATGAATAAACTTTTTTTT